AGGAAAGGAGCTGCGTGCTACCCACATGGGGCTAAAAGGCATTTGGACACGTATTTTGGACAAGTATTAGTGCCAAAACACCACTCATCCGGTGAAGCAGCAGTGGCTGAGCCAACACAGCCTTTGGAACGCCCAGAGCGACACGGGGGGAAGGTGAGAAACAAGGCAGGATGTGCTAGAGGAGCTGGAGTCAGTGTCACAGACCCTTTCACGAAGGGGCTTCCTTGCAAACACAGATGTCAACAGCACAAACAACTCCTGTGTGTCTGGAAAACTTATTTAAAATGCTCATTTTAAGGCTTGCCTCCTCTGCTGAGTGAGAGCTGCTGGAAGCATGTGAAGGGGAGTGGGTGGCTTAGTGCCCTGGGCACAGAGAGGGGTGCTCAGGGAGCTGCTGACCCAGCCATGGTGACAGCTCTGTGGACACCAGCCCTCCCCAGGGTCACAAGGACAGGTGGCACACACAGTCCTGGGGGGCAAAGGGCTCATGGCACAGTCTGGGACCCTCTTTTGTGCCCACCATTACCTTCCCCCCTCTGCTGACATCCCAAATCTGCTGCTCCAGCAGGCAAAACCCAGATCAACCAAAGTTTAGGAGGTCCTGGTAGGTGACCTCTGGATCCAGCCAGGTGCTGCAGGGAAGGAGATGCTCTGCCCTGCAACACAAAACCCCTGTGTGAGATATGGGAATGGTTTCTCCCCAAATTCATTATTTTAGGGAGCAGAGACATACCCTCCCTCAGGGCAAAGCATTGCCCTGACTCCAGCACAGCTTCCAGGGGACATGCCAAAGGGTCCTGGGAGGTCTCAGTCACTTTCACCCTGATCTCCTCCATGGTGATGGTGAAGTCCAGTTTGTTGCCCAAGTAGGAGACACCAGAGACTTCCAGCTTGGTGATGTCATGGGGAAAGGCAGGGCTGAAGCGGAGGCAGGACCTGGTGATCCTGGAAAGGCAGGACCATGTCAGGGTGGGAACAGTGGGGCCACAGAGGGCCCCAGCTCTGAGAGGGAGCACTTCCACAGGGACCACCACCTCCTGCACCCCAGAGGAGTCCAAAAAAAAAAAAAAGAGTCCTTAGTGCACCCAAGGATCTCTGGACAAATCCTGAACACACTGGTAGAGTATCTGATGAGGAGCTACCAGGGCTGTGATTTCACAGCCCACCCCAAGACCTTTCTGTCCCCCTCCAGTTCCACAGCTGTGGCCTGGTGTTGGGTTTTATATTCTTTTAATAATAAGAAGAATAAAAATAAATATATATAATTGTTTTCTTCAGAGGCAGCTCTATTCCCTGCTCCACCTCAGAGGCTGGAAAAGCTTTGGGAATGTCCTGCTCTAACCTGTGTTGTCCAGGTGACCCTCAGACACCTCAGCTCCCACTCCCACAGTCTGGAGGGCTGGAAGGCACAGCTGTTTGCGTTTCCACTAGAGATCCAGCAAAATTCCTCCATCCCTGATCCACAGCCAAACAGCCTGTGTGGGCGTTGGCTTTTATGGAGGAAAAACAAGAGTCGCTGTTGTCTCCAAATCCTGGCACGCAAGAGCTCTTGACCATCAACTCCAGAATGCTGAGAGGGCTTGAGGGACTGGAGAAGGCTCAAGAGAGGTTTGAGAGCCTGGAGAGCCCCAGCACAGGCAGGGTCTGTGCCCAGTGTCTGGAAAAGCAGGAGCAAAGCCCCAGGGGCTGCACAATGTCATCACAGCCTCTGGGAATTTGGCTGGAGCCCCAAAGCCCACGGCCTGAGCCCGTGGCTTGAGCCTGTGCCACGAGGGGCCCGACCGGACACACGCCAGGAACATGAAGACCTCCCAGCGTGGCCAAAGCTGGGGCTGAGGTTTCCAGCTGAGAATACAGCAGCTCACACCCAGCTCCACCAAGGAACTGATGGGTTTCCCAGCTGGGAATACAGCAGCTCACACCCAGCTCCACCAAGGAACTGGTGGGTTTCCCAGCAGCTCTGGCCACACACATGGAGTGAAAACACATAGTTAGTGCTGGAACTTTTTACTGGGAATCAAAAGGCTTGATCCAGCCTCAATTAAACCAAGAATAGACTCAAAAGATGATGGCTCCAGGGTGGAAACCACCAGATATGAGACACAGCTCTGAAATTATATGAACAGCTCCATGTTTTTCCTGAGGTATTTTAAAGCTGAGGCAATGCCTGCCCAGCACTTCCCTCCACTGAGGTTCCTGGAGCCACACATGTGCAGGGACCACAGAGGGGCTGCAGAAGGTGTTTCCTCACCACATCCAAAGGAGACAGGATGATATTGTGGCTGAGCCAGAGAACAGGCTTAGAGAATGGCATTTCACTTCCCAAATGTGACCCAGAATGAGTCTCTTACCCGTTCCCCATCTTGCTCCAGCCAAACAGAGACATTTCAAGGGACAAGCAGATGCTTAATAACTAACTGTGGCACACCAGGTCTCACCTGAACCCCGTGTAGCCAAAGAGAATGGCTTGCAGAAATCCACCCATCCCTGTCAAGAAGTTCACAGCTCCTGACCCATCCGAGTTCTCCACCCAGACCTGCTCCAGCATGAGAAAAAGATGACTCAGCAGTTGATTTGTTATTTCAGGCAGTTTTGTGAGTCTGAATCCCATTATCACCATCCCTGTCACACATCTGGGGTGTTGCAATGCCCATGCCCTGCTGCCCAGCCTATGGGCACTGATATGTTCCTAAACACACCCATTTCCACTCCCATCTTCATTCCCATCCCTGGCAGGCAGAAGGAAGCCTAAGGTGAGCACAACACTGACTAGAGGCTTTGGATGGCTTGGTAGGAGGCAGGTGCCTCCTTCCTGCCCTTTGGAAGCACAGTGGAGAAGGGACAGCATGCAGCCACCTGGCTCAATACAACAGCAACCTGGTGGCCATGAGTACAAGTGGTGTCTCTCAGTGAGATGTCACCTGCTTGGGAACAGGTGAGACACAAACCAGAGGGGTTTGCAGCCCTGCTGCTCACCTTGAAGGGCTCCGTGATGTTGCTGAAGCACTTGTGCAATTGGCTCTGGGCTCTCTGCACCTCCTTCAGCTCCAGCCAGCCCACAGCAAACATGCTCTGCAGGACAGGAAAACGGTCTGTCACCAGCTGCTGACTCCCAGGGGTGACAGCACAGCAGAGTGGCACCACCACTGCCATCCTTCTGATCCAGAGTAAACACCCCCAGCTCTGCACTGCACACTCTCTCTCAGAGTCTAATGCAGGTCTGATGGGGCTGGCAGGGACTGACCTGGATGGAAACCATCCCCTGGATGGAAACATCCTGGGCTCTGTTCTCTCCTTACCCAGGTCATGGCTGGCCCAGCCAGGTCAGTGACAGGTTCATAGATCTCCAGGTCGTTCCTCCGGACCTCAGGACTCATGGGATGCATCAGGGGGAACCCCAGCAGGACCACGTCAGCTTGCTTCACCAGCTCACCTGGGGAGAGGGACTGGTCAGACCACAGGCACTGGCCAGGAATGATAGATTGATACACCACACCTGACTGTCACTAAAGAGCTTGTTGCAACCTTGTTACCTGCAATAACACTCTGCATTCCCAAATTTCCTAATTTTATGAGCCCACCAGTGAGAAATGATCAAGAGAAGCAGGAGAACCATCCACCAGACCAGCTCTCTGCACTGGCCTGGGCAGCACTTGGGACTCTTCCTTTGTCATTCCCAAGTCTGAACCAGACAACATCCTGCTCTTCCCAGGATTAAAAGTATGATGCATGGCTGCCTCCAAGGGTGCTGCTGTCTTATCACTCACCTGGGCTGTAGCCATCGTACTCGGGATGATATTTCCTCTCTGCATCAAAAGGCACTTTGACTTTCCTGGCACACTCCTCCCACTCCTCTGGCACTGGAAGCAGCAGGTCCCGAGCGACTTCAGCTGCAAAGCTTAAGCTGGAAAGAAGAAGGAACAGTGTTTTATGTCAGGGATGGGTGAGTATGATGCCCTTGGAGGGGAGAGAGCTGAAAGGGTACAAAAGAAGCTGACTGAGCTGCAGAAAAAGCTGCTCTGGAAGAACAGGGTCAGAGGTTGAGCTGGGGGTAACAGCTTCCATCATGGGTTCAGGAATCTGTTCCTCTGGCTGTGGGTGTCTCCAGATGGCTAATGGCACAGATATCTCATGGAATTTAGGGAGAGAAGCCCCTCTGTGAAGGGAGATCACTCTCAGCCTCACATGGGCACCAACCAGGTCAGAGGAGCTGCTGTGGGACCACCTACTCCTTCCTCTGACTGTGGACGGGTGACAGGGAGAGAGGTGTGAGGAGGAAGAAGCAGCATTCCCTGGGGAACCCCACTGCCCCCCATCCCTGCAGAGTGCCAGGTGGAAGAGAAGAGAGCCAGGCAGTGCTTCCAGGAGCTATTCCCTGTGTTACCTGCGACGGGCCACAGCGTTGGTGTAAGCAGAGTTATCAACTTGGCAGTGGTACTCGTCTGGGGGCATGACACCTGGGGGGGCAGGAGAAGACACTTCACACCTCAGCACACCCAGGGGCTGCTGTGGCTCTGGGACTCTCCTTGGTGGGATGTCTGCCCATCCAGAGATGCTGCCTCTGGCAGGATCCCACATGGACATGGTGGGAGGCTCATAGAGAACATCTGTGGTGGTGCTGGTGGTGAAAGAGGAACAACCTGGGCTATAGCTTTGGCTGGTGGGTGCAGGTACCTCATCCTGAAGGCATCCCCTGCTTCACGGGCAGGGGGATCTTCAAGTCATGGAATCCCAGGATGGTTTGGGCTGGAAGGGACGTTAAAGCTCATCCAGTTCCTCCCTCAGCCACGGACAGGGACACCTTCCACTAGCTCAGGTGACACTGAGTCTCTGCTTGCCAACTTCTTCCTGCAGCAGAGGTACCTCTGATGTGGTAGCACTGCTCCTCCTCACTCCACACCATCCTGCTGCACCAGTACTGAGCCACAGCTTCCACCAGCTCCCAGCCCCCATCCTCCTGAAACAGCTTCTGGTTCTGGGGAGCCAAAGCAGGAGAAAAACAAGCATGAGGGAGATTCCACCAGAATCAAAGTCAGCAGGAGGACGGACAGAAGCTCTGAGGAGATGGAGGAAGCAGGAGAAATGGTCAGAAAACTGGCCTATATTGAGCCAACAGGATGCTGAGATGCCCACAGGAGAAGGACAGAGGAGGCAGGGCTGAAGGAGGGACTCTGTGGAGGAGATAGAGCAGAGTTCATCTAGGAGGGGACAGTGACAGTCACCAAGTGCCCTGTGGGCACTGCCACCCAGGTGGCACACACTCCTTTTACCTGTGTGGTGCAGTAATATTGCTCAAAGGCCATCAAGACATCTCCAGTGACGTGGATTTCTTGGGATCCATAGATCTCCTCAGGGCAGACTTCCCGGCCTGTGGCTGCACTCTCCCATGGGAACTTTGCACCCTGACAGGAGAAGACATCCATGAGAACATCACCTGAAGGTGCTCCTCCCATGATCAACCCTGCAATAAAACTGGAGTGGGAGAGGCAGAGCAAGTGCAGTGTCCTCTGGGGGACAGTGGCTGGTGACATCCCCTCAGCCCAGTGTTCCTGTCCCACCTTGTAGCCTTGTTCCTGTGCATTTTGCAAGGCTCCTTCCAGTGTGCGGATCCGGTACTCCAGGATGGCTCGGGCAGCTTCAGGATAAAACAGCAGGATATTTGGGAACATCCAGGTGTCCTGCAAGGCAAGGTGGTGGCATTGGCTGGTGAGGCATCTGAATGCTCCTGCCAGCTTCACCCTTCAAGTTCTTCTCTGTCCCAGGGGAAGGACAGAGTCTTCCTCATCCCAAAGGAAGGGCAGAGTCTTCCTCATCCCAATGGAAAGATGGAGTCTTCCCCTTTTCTAAGGAAGGGTGGGATTTTCCCCATCCCAGTGGCTGTGCCAAGCCCCCAGGTCACCAGCCAGCATAGCCCCCACTCACCTGGTCCCAGAAGATGTGTCCCCAGTAGTCCTCGCCCCGGGTGCCATTGGACAAACCTCCAGGGCTGATGCCATGGAACAGGAATCCTGTGCTGCCCTGGGGTGGGATGGAGCTCAGCAGGTAGTAGAGGCAGCCACGGAGGGCCTGCTGCAGGGGCAGGGGTCCAGCCAGATCCACACAGCAGCCTGCCCAGAGCGCGGCCCAAGAGTGGCAGTGGGAGGAGTGCAGGGACCCTGTGGCCATCAGGGACAGTCCCTCACTGTAGCTCTGCTTCACCTCCTCCTCGCTCTCAGCCACGGCTGTCAGGAATTCCCAGGATCGCTCCTGCTCCTCCCCACCCAGTGTCAGCGATGGTGGGACAGGGGTCCAGAGCATGTGGACAGTGGGACGGGGTCCCCCCTCCACCTCGGGGACCAGTGTCTGCCCATAGATGTAGCTGTGGGAGATGGCAAGCGATGGGAGAAGGGAGTGAGGCAGGGGAACCCCATGCACATCCCACACCCAGAAGGGACTCCAAGACACCAGGCTCCCATTCCTCCCTTGTCCCGATGCTTCAGCTCCGCTGCCATCCCACCCTCAATGTGCAGGAGACTGAGATTCATCACAGAATCCCAGACTGGCCTGGGTTGGAAGGACCTAAAAGCTCATCCAGTTCCACCCCTGCCATGGACAGGGACACCTTCCACTAGCCCAGGTTGCTCCAAGTTCTGCCAACCTGGCCTTCAACACTCCCCAGTTCCAGGAATCGGGCAGCTACAGCTTCTCTGGGCAACCTGTGCCAGTGCCTCACCACCCTCACAGGGAACAATTTCTTCCCTATATCTCATCTAATCCTGCCCTCTGGCAGTGGGAAGCCACCACAAACAGTCTCCAATCTCAGGAATCCACTTCTGGAAGTCATCTCCTCCAAACTTCCCATCTTCTCCAGTCTCACTTCTTTGGAATCACATCTAGCCCCTGTGGCTTTTGTTGCTCTTACACATCAGTGTAAGGAATAGTTCTGGAAATGTGGCAAATAAAAGCTGTTTAATTTTGAGGGTTTTTTATACACCTGCCAGGAAGGAGATGTGCAGAAGAAGCCTCCACACCACTCACCATTCCAGCCCAGCTCCCAGTTTATTCCCCAAAGGAGAGAGGAGCAGCGTGCCACAGGCCTGGAAGGTGGGCTCAGGGCAGGGTCCCCCCATTCCCCACACTCACTGTGCTCCCTGGAAGTCTGGCCCTGGGATCAGGTCTAGGTCCTGGCTCTGTGGCACAAATGTGGTCTGGAGCTGGATGGTGACAGGCTGGGATGAGTGAGCCAACCGCCGGATGGTGATGCTGAAGGCCATCAGGTGGACCAGGGAGTGGTGGGCATAGAGCTGGTGGGTGGCCACGTAATCAGTGGACTGAATTGTGTGACTGAAGGTGCCTGTAAGCACAGCGAGAGCCAATAGCCTTTGGAACCCCCAAGTCCTGGTGTTCTGCCCCATCTACTGGCTCCTACTGGCCAAGAAACTGCCTTTCCTGGGCTCAGATCCAGTTGTTGACTAGACAGCACTGCTAACTGAGCCTGGCCAAGCTACTGAGGGATGATTTGTGTCACGAAACATTTTATCAGACTTTGTGATTAAAGAGAGCTTGCCAAGCCTGTCACCAGTAGGGGTCAAACTACAGCCTAAAATAGCTTATTCTCACACAAAAGGGGAATTCTCCAGTTGTTCCAGAAGAACAACGCCCCAAGGTGAACAGAGAACGGGGAGAAGAAATATGTGATGATGTGAAAGAGAGAACTGGACTTCTAGAGGAGTCCCCAACAGCAGGAGGGAAGGAGCCCAAGGGGAAGGTCTGCAGTGCAACAGTGGGACAGGGAGCTCCCACCCTGCTCCCTGCTTACCTGTCCGTGTGTCCAGGGTGAAGGTCTGGGCCGTGCTGTCCGTGCCAGGCACTGCCATCCGCACGCCAAGGGGGCTGGGGAGGTCGGCGCGGTGCGTGTCCCCTGCGGCCCCGCTGTACACGCCGCCCACGTGC